TAGAATACGAAAACATTGGTGAATGCCACAAATTCTCCTAATCACTCGTACGCACAATTTAAGAACAAATCTGTGCATACGAACGGTTCTTGCATGAGGCCCATTGTACTATTTTTCACATTCTATACTTGTTTTTGGATCACATATACTGTAATTGTTGAGGGCAAAGTTGTGGGTGAGCGAGGGTGGAAAAAGTAATCAGAATCTGCAAAACTCTGKTAATCTCTGCTGAAAAGATGCCAAAACTATTGTGAGACTCAACTTCAGCAGAGGAAAGAGAGAATTAGAAAAAAAAACTGCATGAACACATGAGAGATGAACCTCCTGAAGAAGGTGTTTAGATGGCTTTTGGCTGCCCTGTGTGAAGGTTAAGTCCTTTGGCGCTGATGTCTCTCGGGGTTTTAACAGACTACAGCAGAGTGAGTGTGCTCCTCGTGTTTGTTATTCTGCACCATTTCCATCAGCTTTCTGCTAACACAAAAGTGTAGCTTGGTACAGATGCTTTTCTGTGTTTTCTCCTGATTAAATACCTAATTTCTGTGGAAAAGCTTGTCGATCATGCAGCCGTGTTGCTCAAAACAACTCAGTACATTGCAGGCAAAAGTAAATCCATGCCAACCAAGATAAATAATTWAAAATAAATGGAGTATAACAATAATCATTCAGACAGTCAATGAAGCTTAAATAACTCAAAATCAACGGTATAAAACTACTAAATTAAAAAAAAGTTTGACTCATCTTCACCCTGTCCTTGCTTTCATAAAGACTGTTTCTAAAGTGGGATTTTTTTTGCAGGTCTTTGTGTTTTGTTTCATGTGGCWAGTATTTTTCTTACTTCTAAAGGAGGAGTACTGAGGAAAATAATCAATGGTGACACAACAAGAGCGAGGTGGGAGTAGAGAGTGGTGAGGTCTGTGGGATAAAGAGAACGACTACCTGAGAATTTAGCCTGAGTTGAAACAACCATCTTCCCAATATCCCAGAAGGAGAAAAATCTTCTCAGCRGGATATCAATCCCATTTCTTCACGTTTTCCTTCCTTGCACCGGTCAATTACGTCTTTATTACATGAAAATGCAGATTTTCCTGCAGAATGTAGGCGCAGAAAAAGACAGATGATGAAGGAAGGCTGCAGAGTCTCTCATTTCTTTGGTGTGTGCTCCTACAGTGGGCATGTTGCAAATGAGGGGTTCACGGTCATAAACAAAGGCAGGATTTCACTAATCTAATGTTGACTTGCTCTGAAACCCCTGCCATAACCTCAAACAACATTAGTGTGGATTCAGCTTGACACTTTGAAGCATCAGCACATTTTTTTCTGGGTGGGAAAAGGTGTTGTTTTGGCACAATGCATCACAGGAATGATACTGCGGATCAAAAACTAAAGGTTGATGCAGGTTATTTTTTTTTATTTTCTTCTTTATATATCTTTTGCCAGAAATAGCAAATGTTTGTTTGCAAAATGTTTAGTCATTTATTTTCCTCAAATATACTTTTCAAAGTTGTGAACTTTGTGAAAATTGCCATATTTGGCTTTTAATGTTATTAATATTATTATTTACCTGTCAGTATGTCCAATGGTTTCTAAGTCCTGGAAAAATCCTGGAAAACCTGAAGACTCTAACGATTATGTTGCAGCTGTGAGAAAAACAAACATCAGAAAGGTCATGACTATACGCTCGTAATGGTTTTTCAGCTGTGGAGAGTGTTTAATGTCAAGCTTGTCTGTTGGTGGATTTAATTAGTCTTGAAGGAATAACAGCATACAAACATGTTACTGTTTACAAAATGAGGCAACAATGTCTTAAACATTCATATCAGCTTGTTGAAAACAGATGTGACTTATGGAAATGACTCCATGTGTACACGAGTGCTCAAAAAAAGCTTGATAATTGCTATTAGCTTCTCTCTTTTTTGTGGCCATTTCATTCTTTTCTCAAGCCTGTCTTGTTTAGGATCGAGAGGACAAAGTTTTTCCCATTCCTGCACTTGTCACGAAGTAGGTTGCACACATAAAAAAAGCATATAATAATAAAAAAAAAAAACATTCAGATTCACACCTACAGGCGGTTGGGCTTCCAGTTCATTTAACACACGTGTCTTTTACACCATCCTCAAAGGCCTTAGTCGACTCTCCCCTCAGGGCTGCCAAGACACTGGAAATATCTCACTGMGTACGCACAAACGTTTTACCAAATGAAATAGTAATTACATTATCTCACTGGTTCCTCGTCAGCAGATGTAATTAGCCAAATTGTTTTTTTTTTCTGTTTTTTCATTTTATAATTTTGCATGGGTCAGTGGGAGACTCTTTAACAGTTTAAAAGCCTCCCACAAGCTCTATATCATGTTTAGAGAGTTTAACAGGTGAAGCCTCAGAACTCAATGAGCTAACAAGCAGTGAGGTCACATTTGGAGCATCAACAATTAGCATCGATGTAGTATTTTGCTGGGATAAGACTGTGTATCACACTTTCTGACAYACGGAAACAAAACTGAGAAGAGTAGGAAATGAGTTCCCCATGCCTGTGAAAACTGTGTGACTATTTGTAGACATTTGGATTATGATTGTTGTTATTATGAATGACACATTTATGTGAACTCATTGCATGTGGGCAAAAAAATGCTTGGCATTCATGTAGATATGAAAAAATAAAATACTCTACAAGTACACTACTTCAATCTTTTTATTGGATGCATCCCTCCAGAAATGTGGCAATGATGCATTCGTATTGAAAAGTGTAGGACCTCACAATCAGGGCCGACCCAAGACAAATGGGAGCTCTATAGGCAAAATTTTGCTGAAACAGCAAGTTTCTCAGTGGATCTGCGCTCAAAAATGCAGCCTAGGTGGAGTAGTCGAGCACAGATCCACTGATCATTCAAGACAGAGCAGCTTCAGAAGACAAGTTCATAAAATAAATTTTAAAACCCTGTATTGTTTGTAACAAGTGTGTATTGAACCTAAAGCTCTGTTCAATATGGGCACATGTATTGTTGCACCCCATATATATA